ACCACCACCATCACCACCACCACCATTACCACCACCACCACCATTACCACCACCACCATCACCACCACCACCACCATTACCACCACCATTATCACCATTATCGTTGTTATTTATTACTCCTATCATGATAATGTCTGGGGTTCTAAGAGTGATTTTTTTTCCTAAGACATTTGAAATCTAAAATAAAGAAACACAGTTCCCTTCCTGTGTGCATCTGCTGCTGCCTGAAAGCAGCAAATAAGATTCGTTATGAACCTTAACACAGTTTACAGGCTGCAATTTCCATGTCCAGAGATGTAGTTAGAAAAGCACAGGAAGCCAAGGAAACGTCACTTACGGCAGACTGTCAGCCTGCACTTACTACATCATCCACACAGGCTTGCTGGAAGCTGCACTATTAATTATTTCTACCCTGGAAAAAAATATCTCCCTTAGCAGAAGACAATATAAAATCCTGAGCAAACAATCATGCAACATGGACTGAACGTGTCTAATACTGGTCTGTTCACAAAGTGTTTTCAATATGAACAATCACAAAGAGTTAGTGAGCACACACCGGAACGGTTCATCCAGGGAGTTGTCAGAAGGCTTTGTCTGGGTACATAGTGGGTTCTGGAACACATGAGGCATTGATAAGGCGAAGGAGGGCCTGCCTGGACAGCCAGTAGACCACACTGTGAGGTACTGCAGCCACAGTGCAGCAGGGTGAAACTTGCTCACCAAGTTTCAGAGCATGAAGCTGGCTCCCATGTTTGATGTTTGGGAGGACCCAACAGCTGGGGTACTAGAGCCCAGATAGGGATCTGGGTTCTTATTCTACGTCTGTCACTAGTGAGTCACTGCTTTGAACAAGGCCATGATACCTGGGTGACTTTTCTGGCCACAGTATGTAAGGAAAGATTGTCCTCCTCTGCAGAAAGAGTGTGCAAATGGAGCATTCTGGCAAGTTATAACTTCCAGGCACATGCCAAGGGTCAGAAACATAGTTCCCGACAGACACTTTTCTGGGTTACTATGCCTGTTGAGTTTCCAGAGACAGCTTACCTCTGGCCTTCCAGTGCAACTGTGGGAGATGTGGGAAGCTAAGGCCTTCCCACTTCAAATGTTAGAAATCAATTACAACCATAATCGTTGATAACGATGCAAGAGCCACCTTCTTCCACTAGTGGAACAGCTACATTTGGGTGTATTCCCCAGTTTGCCTTCTATTGCTCCCTTAAAAACACTAGTCAAGCAACTACACATTGTTTAAATTTCGGACACCTTTTCTTCCATATTGGATGTTGTCTTTCTAGATGTGTCCCTCTCACTGACTTAAAAGTCACTTCCCATTTTCTCTTTGAGACTCTGTCTACCTGGGCACCTCTCATGAATCATTTATCACTTCACCTCTCCTCTTCTCAGCCTGGCCCTCAGGCTGCCAGGAACTCTCCCAAGACAGATGGCAGGAAGGAGAGAAAAGCATTTCTGGTCAGTGGTGCTAAGAGGTGGTTTCAGGAGAGGAGATCAGGAGGAGCTCCAAGCCCAAGGGAATGGCTATATTCATATCTGTGCGCCTCCATGGAGCTACTGTGTCCTGTTAGGACTGAGAATTCACAGTATGATAAACAGTACTTAAAATTTAAACTAAGTTCCTCTTAGAAAGTTCCTTCCACAGCTGCAGAGGCCGAACACAAGAGGCAAGGTGGTGAGAGGTGGATCAGGAGGCAGGACCCCGGAGTTCCTACCACAGCCTTGCCTCTCTTTCCAGCTCCTAGAACAGTGAGCAACACACACTATGCATGTCATCTAAGAGAGGGGCTGCAGACAGAAACCACAGCAGAGGCAGAAAGGAGAGGTGTCAGTCTTGCTTTGATCTAGCATTTCCTCACTATGCATCTTTCCTCCCCTTTGGAATGGTAATGAATATTCTGTGCCATTGTATGTTGGGAGTATGTGATCTGCTTTTGACTTGGGTTTTACAGGGGATTACAGCTAGATTGCATGGATCTTAGAAAAGACTTTGAACTTTGGACTCTCAAACAGTTTTGAGTCTGACAGACTATGGGACTTTATGTTGGATAAGTTGGACTTTATGCTTTTTTTTTTTTTTTGCATTATGATAGGACTACAAGCCTGTAGGGCTAGGGAGTGGAATGCTGTGGCTTGAATAAGAACGGCTCCTGTAGACTCAGAGTTAAATGCTTGGCCATAGAGAGTAGAACTACTTGAGAGGGATTAGGAGGTGCGGTATTGTTGGAGGAGGTATGCTCTTGATGGAGGAAGCATGGCACAGGGGGTGGGCTTTGGGGTTTTTAAAGCCCAAGCCAGGTGCAGGGGTCTCTCTGCCTGTGGATCAAGATGCAGAATTCTCAGCCCCTCCAGCGCCATGTTTGTCTGCATATTGCCACACTCCCTACCACAATCACAGACTAAACCTCTGAAACTGTAAGCCAGACCTAATCAAATGCTCTTTTATAAGAATTGCTGTGGCCATGCGTCTCTTCACAATAGAACACTGAGACAGGGCTCCTACTTCTCTCTAGCCTCCTAGGTCTGGGTCATAATCATGCAAGCTCTCATTGCTTCTGAGCCTCACTTTTTGCAATAGTAAAACAAGTGTGATGCAACATGGTATTTGCCCGTGTTATTTGGCTTTTCTGAAGACAGAATGAGAACATGTTATGTAAAATAAAAAAAGCCCTACCAAAATGCTTGTTATTAGTAGGCCTAAAATTAAAAAAAAAAAAAAAAGGGCATCTGTGTGTGCGTCAGCTTTAAATGCTATTTGTTGATAAGTGATTGAAATGGGAGTTAGGAAGAAAACAAGTTTCTTCCAATCATGAAGATGTCAGTTGATGGCTAATGACAGAGAAGGTTCAGGTGGCGGTGATCAGAGGGGGAAAGAAGTGACTGACAATTTAAAAAAGGAGAAGAGAAGAAACTGATTATCACCAACAGAGGCAGCATGCTGTCACAGAAAACACTTTGGTGTCAGGCAGCTTCAGGTTTGATGGTAACTCCACTGCATATTCAAGTGGAAAACTTGGGCGGGTCACATAGTCTCCTTTAGCTTCAGCTTTATCTCCTCTAAAGCAGGAGTAACAGGGGTTATCTTGTGAGGCTAATGCAAGGGTTGAAGGCAGCACACAAATGGCCCAGTATGGTGCTGGCACAGGGAAGTTCTCAGTGAAAGTAATTATACCACCCCTGGCTGAAAAGCCGTGATTCCTGTGCTGGGAGCCCACAGGGACCTTTCCTGTGGGATTCTGGTAAGACTCATGCTGTTCTGAGTGGCTAAGTCATTATGGAGAAGAACTGAGGGGGCTTTACTTTTCACGAAGGAGAGAAGACAAAACCTGAGTCATATCCCTATCCTAAATGCAGGCAAAAGATCAGACCCAGGAAGAGAATCTGGGCCCCTGAAACAACAGCCCTTCACCAAATGTATGCTGGAGAGAGCATCCACGCACTTTGCTCAAAGCACGGACTGTGTTCTACAACTGCAGGTGGAACCCTATTGGCACAAGCTGTCCAAGGCCCAGCTCAGGAGCTGGCTTCTACTGTGATTTCCCTCAAGCAAAACTACAGATGGAAAGAACTGAGAACACAAAGTCAGGGGCTCTTCTCAATCCGCCCACTCGCTGTATGGCCATGTCTTCCTCCCCCTCCTCTTAGTGCCCTGAGAGACTGACCTGAGCTTCTGGATGATGTGCAAGGGCCCAGGGAAGATGGGAAACATGGACAGGTGGAGCAAAGCAGTCCCCGTAACTGAGCACATGGACCCAAGGGCAGTGGAGTCAGGCAGTTGGCATAGACCTACACCCTCTGTACAGAAACCAACTGTTTCCTGTGAAAATCTTCTGCTCAGTTTTCAGCTTGTTTTGTTTTCAGTAAAGGACGTTTCTCACATACTTCTTATCAGGATTCTGCCTTGACCTAAAGACATCCGGAGGTTGTTGCTCCTATGCTGCTGTATCTGGGGACTTGGAAGGTGCAGACTTTGCAGAGCTAGCCTTCTTTCTGCATGCTGGATTTCCTAGTCAGGGTCACTTCTCACCCCTACTGCCCAAGCATGCCTAAATCTGTGCAACAGTGAGGGCTGCCGAGAAACATTTATTTATACCGCAAGAAAATGAAGTTGGAACAAATACGCAGGGAGCTCTGTAAATGTCTGCTCGGCCTCCACTCCACACCCAAGGCTTTGTCTGGGAGGGGCCATCTCCAGGCCAGGGCAAGAACTCCCTGCTCTGGCCATGAAAGATCTTTCAAGGAAAGAAGAGTATGGCCAGAGCCCAGGCATTTGGTTAGGTATTTTTAAAGGCTCTCCAATTCTGCTATTTTTTTCTCTGCACATTCAATATTCTTGGTTGCTAAGTGGGAGGAAATGTGGGGAGGTGGGAGAGGTGTGGAGAACTGAGGGAAATTGGCAAAGAGAGAACTGATGGTTTATTTTTCTCCTTTCTAAAGAGGGTAAGGCAAAAGATGGGCTCCAGCACAAAGGTAATCAGCCGAGGCAGTGGCTGCTATAGAATGGGTTATAGGGCAAGGTCTCCCAAATCCTGGTGCTATTGAAGGGCCAGGGAAGGGGGGCTTTGGAGGAGATAAATATAGGCATTTCCCATTTTTGCTTATAGATATAGATAAATAGATTTTTTTTTGTAAAAATGATCTTTATCTTCAGATCAAACTGTGAAAATGTCAGATTCAGCACTATCCTTTCCTAAGAGGAAGGGGGAGCATGGCACAGCCTGTAGGGCACCTTACTATATCTCAGAACCGTGACAGGAGTTGGCTTATCCGGCTGCACAGGTCCCTCTCCTGACACTGACACACTGACACACACACACACACACACACACACACACACACACACACACACACCTCAAAGCTGCTCTGCCACATGCCACATCCGGGTCACTGGTCTACCTGAGGTCAGTTCACAGGGGCACACTCCTTTCTACAGGCCCTGAGTTTGAATACTTTCTTTTTAACTGCAGAAGCTTTCTTTGTTTGTTGTTTTGTTGAGATGGGGTCTCTCTGTAGCCTAGGCTAGTCTAGAACTCATTATGTAGTCTAGTCTGGCCTTGGACTCTCAGTAATCCTCCTACCTCAGCTTCCCAGAATTGGAATTACAGTGTGAGCTACCATATCCTTTTCAACTGAAGACATTTTTGTTAAAAAAAATAAACATTCTCATTTCCCACTGCCACAGCTTAACTCACAGCCCATCTTTCCTCTCTGTTGGTCTCTGAGACCAAAGCCACCCACCAGCATATCTGTCTGCTTCCCACACTCCTGGTACCACTGACTGACACCCTGTCTGCCTCCTGACTCTTCAGAGCATACTATACGTCTTCCACACACCTTGCCATGAATTTGAAAAACCCTCTGACTTTGAGTTGCAGGAAGTCACTTGAATCATCGGACAACTCTTTGCTGTATTACTTTGGCAGTGTGCCCAGACTTGGGGCAAGTGGGTTAGGGGTGTGTGTTGGTGACCTGCTGGGGTTGAACTGGCTTTCTTCACCAGCTGTGCTGACTCAAAACGGTAGCATCTGACTTCCCACTAACTAACTTCCTGTAACATCCTGTATACAGTTCTGAAGGGGCAGAAGGAGTTAACCTGTAGAAAACCATTAAGACAAACATATTTTATCTGTGGAGGATACAAGTGATTTCTACCCTGTGGAAAAGACAGCACCACAAAATATATTCCATCATCTGATAGTACCCTATTTTTCATCTGTTTGTGAATTCATTTCAGCATTTCATGTTGTACAAAGTCTTGTTTGAATTGACCTTAACTTTATATTGGCTCCTTCAGAAATAAAGTAAGTAAAATCTTTAATACGTGTTTATTTTATATTTGTATGAGTTAGAATTTTAACTTCTTCAAAATGATTTTTAACTGTGTTCATAGTGACTCCCCGTCTCAATAGGATGTGGCCTGCTGTCGATACAGATCCCTTAAATATTACTGTAGGAAACTCATTTGGACTATGTCACTGGCTAATCTAGACATCAATTTCTAGAAAGATGGAAAGACTTGTCACAGTCTGGAGAAAGAAATCATTTGTGAACAGAGCCCATGGGTCATTATGAGGTGGGCGTGGGGAGGAGGGAGGAACAAAAGAAAGCCATGAATTAGAGGCTTCATCAGCCATGGACAAGCATGAAGCTCCATCATCATTATCTACCATTTGTGGAGACCTGGGGTATAGGGAAATGACAGAGTTGATGCCAGACAAATGCCCATAGGAGATGGCTCTGATTTGCAGATACCCATGCAAACATGACACAGAACAGGCACCATTGGACTCTCACCTGGGGTTAGTAAGGTTGTAGCAGGATTTCCATATTTGTAGCATGTGCTTACAGGTGAGCAGTGCCTCGTCCGGGCCCCGGCAGAGCGACTCCAACTTCACTTTGGAAAACAGTAGTCTAGAGTGGGAGAGAAGGGCGAAAACACACAGCTCAAGCCAGAGCCCCACCTCTCAAATCAGATGAGAAGTGGGCTCAACCTGGGGCAAGGACAACTGCCCTCTTCTTATTTTAATTTTTATTGAAAATAGATTTCTTCACACAATATATTCTGACCATAGTTACCCTCCCCAACTCATCCTAGAACCTACCTACCCATCCCGATCTACTCTTTCTTTCTTCAATCTCATTAGAAAAAAAGTATTTAAAATTTTAATAAAAACAAATAATCCAGAATAGCACAGAACAAACAGGAAAAAAAAAAAGAGGGAAAAAAAAGTTAAAGACAGACAGATGCAGAGAGACACACGATCACATACAAAGAAATACCATTAAAAACACAAAATTGGAAACCATACTATATAGGCAAAAGAACTGTAAGGCACAAAGATTCGCAGACAAAGCATTATGAGACAAAAACCTTCCGAAAATGAGCCCATTTTATATTGGCCATCTACTGCTGGGCATGGGGCCCACCCTTAAGTGGGGCTTGTATACACAGCAAGACTCCTTTGGAGAAACTCAGTTTTCCCTTGTGAGCGGTTCTCCACTGGAGATAGCTTCTGGGTTCGGTATGGGCCGTGTCAACTTCCCCTCCCAGCTGGGACCCCATCTGGCCTGACCCTTTGCAGGCCCTGAACTGCACTCATCTTAGAATAGGGCCATCCGAGTACCGGGAGAGTCTAGGGGAAGCAGTGGCTGCAGGGCCAAGCATTCTTGAACTTGATGCTCAACCGGTGGCTTTGTGGAAATCTCACCATGGAGGCAAACACAAGCGCAGGATGAGGGATTGTGGTGAGGTTAAAAGCACCGGAGTGGCCAATTTCATTCAGAACACAGAGATTTTATTAAAAGCATGCTTTTGGAACTTAGCCAAGTTATTTATGAAACTTCAAAAATTCATTAAAAGTGAACCTTGGTTTATTGATAAGGTTACACAGGAGATATGACTCAGTTGATATGAATATCTGCCGAGAGCCCTCCAGGAGAGTGCTCACCCTCTCGGAAGCTTTGAAAGCTTATATACCTGGGCATGGTAACCCATGTGTGTAATCCTCACATGTGGAAGACTGAGGCAGAAGGATTACTGTTAGTGGCTATACGCTGAGTTGCAGGTCAAGCTGAGAGATGGAATACCCTGTTTAAAAAGAAAGACTGCCTGAAGTCACATGGGGCAAGAGGACCATGGCACAGGCGTTCTCCCCATCTGCCTTCGGAGCCCTGCTCTTTAGTAGCTAGACTTTCTGGGTAGGCAGTATTTATTTCCCTCCAATAGGTGGGGACACTGAGGCCTGTTTTCCTGTCCAGTTGCTTTTTAAAGGTGATTTTCTCTGTGAGTGCATAAGCTCTCATTTCCCTATCTCTGGCCTCCCCTCCCTAGTGCCCAAGACTATTCTCTCTTCAACAGACCCTTCACACCCCTGCTCACCAAAGGCTTTCTTCGTAACCTGTGAAAGATGAAGACATGTATTTCAAGTGGTATAACTGACACATAGGAGAGTTCTTCGGCCATGTGTGATATAATACCCAACTTCAAGGTACCTAGAGCAGTGACATCCCTGATGGAGAAAGACAGCAGGAGTACCCTGCTCCAGCACCATCCCAACTCAGCTCTGCCTTCTCTCCCAGGAGAGGACAGGAGGTCTAAGGGTGCTTGCTGGTGCTCCCAGGGAGGTTTCAGGGCTGCAACTTCCTCCTCGGATCTTGATTTGCAGTTGGAACCTAGGCTGAGGTAGCAGTGGGCCAGGCAATGGGAAGGCTGTGGTCCCTGACCTATAAGCAGCAGGTCCAAAGAGGAAGGCCAGATACAAGAGTGGGGCTTGGCTCTGACCCATGACATTTGAAGAGATGGAAATTCCATTGAAGCCTACTAGGCCCCCTTATAGTGACTGGCAGCTATCAGGAGGTCTCAAGAGTTTTTAAAAGGGACCAAAGCTAACTCCTGCTGAAGCCTGCAAATGTGCTAGGAGTGATTTTCTACTCAAATCCAGCACTTTAGGAGGGAGCAGTCTTTGATTGGTCCACTGCCAATCTTTGGTGGAGACTATTTGGAGGCCCACAAAAGCTCTTGAGTGAGGGTGGCTGTCAAGCAATTATGACTAGGAGTGCATTTTCCTAGGACTATGAGGCCCACAGGCCTCTTTGACACTGCAGGGGGGATGGGTTCTTGGGTAAGGGTATACCAAGGTCTTATAGCTTGGCCAGGCTTAGAGAAAGGTCCGGGAGTAGGTGAGAATGTCTCCATGCTCAGCAGCAATTAGCCAGGACTCCTTTCACTGTCCCCAAGAACAAATGCCAGAGTGTATCTTGGAGCCTTGGCTCGAGGAAACAGTTCTGTGAAGGTTTCCTGGCCAGGAAAAGAACTCCAATTAACATGAAATAACAGCTTTCAAACACTTGACTCATGATAAGGAGCTGAAAAGGTGTGGGCTGGATTTAAGAGAACTAGACAGGAAGAACAATAGTGGACCTGCTAAGCACACGTGATGGGAAAGACATGGGAAGCGAGGTAGTGGGAACAGGATGAAAGAATCTGGCAGAGGGAAGAACTGGGGAGGCAAGAACACAGGTGGCCAGGTCCTGTGCAGCCTGTGTGCACACAGTGAGAACAGGGAGAGATGGCATTGCCTCTTCATCCTCTTCCTGAACTGTAGCAGCTTTATAAGGCAGGAAGAGTGTTCAAACCAGAACTGATGCTTGTTATCCTCCCAGAACCCTGCTCAAATGTCTTAAGGCTGCTGAAAACATCTGGTGGCAAGAAAGTAATGCTGGCACAGAACCACAGGATATGCAAGGGCTGGCATTAGTTTGATGCTGCTAAGTCCAAAGATATTATAAATTCAACCCACCGAGGAAATTCCAAGGCAAGAAAAACAAAACAAATGAGTGTTGGATATGGTCCATGTCTGTGAGCCTGATACATTGAGCAGGAGAGGGGACCTCAGGTAAGATCAGTTTGGCCATGTCACAAAGAACAGTCATGACTTACATCAGAAGTCATATACTTCCCAGACCTGGTTCAAAGTTCAGTAATATCATTTGAAACATACTTTGTTCAGAGACCTATTGAAAACTTATATAAAATTAATGGACTGCAGAAGAACACACTAAGACACCAATCCAACTCTGTGATGGTTAATTTTAATGGCCAACTTGACAGGTTCTAGAATCATATCTCAGCACATCAGTGAGGGCGTTTCTAGATTGGCCTAATTGGGGTGTGAAGACCCATCCTAAACTTAGGGCACCATCCCATAAACTGGGGTTCTTCCCTGACTAAAACAGGGAAAGCAAGTGGAGAACGTTTACCCCTCAAGGCATTCTGACCGTGAGCACAAACCAGCCAGCGCTTCTGGCTCTGCCTGCCATGCTTTCTCTGCATAATCTTTGTCTTTCCTTAAACTGCTTCCCGTCAGGTACCTTGGCTACATCAAGGAGAAAAGTAACTAATACAGACTTCATGATTAAAATTTACCACCTTTTACGGTGCCTGTGGTGAGCTAGATCTTGCCATCTTGGTTTGTCTACAGCCCAACTCAAGCCATGGCCGGCACCTCCGGCACCTCACTAGTCGCCATGTACTGGGTCTTTGCACAGTGTGCTCTGCTGTCTGAAACACCTTTTCAAGCCACACATTTCAGCCTCTCAAGCACCTATCTATCCTTTGGAGTGCATGCTGAAGAGCACCTCTTCAGCCTTACAGAACAGGAGAAAACACAGCGACGACACAGTTGTCAAATACCGCAAGAGCTCACAACTGCAGGCTAGCAAATTATAAGCCAGGAAATGTATGCTTCTAAGACAAGTAAAACAATAACAACAGCAGCAGCTGTGAGACACTTGAAATATTTAATCACCGATTCCACAACAACACTGCAAGTTAGGCAGAGCTGTTCTGCCTAAACTCACAGCACAGATACTTAATTAATATCTATCTGGCTGGAAGCACGGAACAAGCCGCAGAGGACGACTTCAGATCTTCCAATGACACCAGTGAAGAGGGAGGTACAGCACTGTCTAGTCCACCACCAAATATTTAAAACTCCCGACTGTAAGACTGTGTGGAGTATAGTTCTCAGTCCCTAGCCTCTGAGAACTTTTAGCCCAGTGGGGACTGCACTGTGGTCTTGAACTTGAGAAGTTGGGTGCTGGAGTTCTGCTCCTAGAATGCCACATACAAGATTTAAAAAAAAGTCATATTTATGCATGTTGTAATTTGCCTTTTACCCCAAAGTCTGATACATATAAAATTCTAGGTGTCTGAATGCTCCAGTTACTCAAACTTTCCTCTTCTGTTAAAATTCATTAAATAATATTTTACCCTATTTTGGAAATTTTCAAAGAATCCTAAGATAATTCTTGGAATAAAGACTATGTTTGGGGTTGGAGAGATGGCTCAGAGGTTAAGAGCACCGGCTGTTCTTCTAGAGGTCCTGAGTTCAATTCCCAGCAACCATGTGGTGGCTCACAATCATCTATAATAAGGTCTGGTGCCCTCTTCTGGCACGTAGACAGAATACTGTATATATAATAAATAAATAAACCCTTAAAAAAAAAAAAAAGACTGTTTGGCTTTGGAAGGGCCCAGAAAGGACACGTAACTGCCCCAGTGAGGCTCTAGCCATGTGGTGCTGTGAAATGTCACTGTTCTTCATAGACTTGAGCCTAAGTGGCAAGCTAGCCATCTGGTAACCATCTAGGATGGCTTTCTAGCTCTCCAGAATCTGGCCCACTGTATGTGACTCTTGTTCAGCATTCTCCTGGGTCCACTCCCCGTAAGTCCCAACTTGGGCTAGCAAAAGATAAAGCTAAAAGGTGCATACTTCAATATTCTGAAACTTAATATGCCTCACAAAATCCTTTGACCAAGAATGCTCAGTGAGGGTGGAGCAGACGGCTCATTGGGTAAAGAACTTGTCCTGTAAACCTGAGTTTGGATCCCCAGACTCCACCTCAGGCTA